GTCCGATTTTGCTCAAACAAATTTAAGAAAATTAAAAATTACAATTCCTTTAATCTGTTCATATAACGTTTTTCTATATAATCAACAGTTTTGCCGGTAAAAATAAATGTATGAAGAAAAAAAATATTTTTTGCCTAAAATATTAAATTTTTTTATTTTTTAAATTCATAAAAAATCCAAAACGGAAAAGAGGCAAGTCGTATTACTTTCACGCAAAGTCACATAACCTTTAAGCAAAATGAGACATAGATCCTGAAAATCGATGGACGCGTTTCGCTTTTATTCACAATTAAGTGAAGGTATCTCATTTTGACATAAAATCAATATTCTTTAAAAAATTTAATATTTTAGGCAAAAAATATTTTTTTTCTTCATACATTTATTTTTACGGGCAAAACTGTTGATTATATAGATAAACGTTATATAAACAGATTAAAGGAATTGTAACTTTTAATTTTTTTAAATTTGTTTGAGCAAAATCGGACTAGTGGTTCTCGAGTTATGTCAAAAAAAAGACCACCAAAGGTGACAATTTCCCCTATATGATAGTTACTAACTTCAAATCGATATATCTCGATTCCTAGACGTGACCCAGCGAAACGCCGGGACACGTATAACTTCTTTTTTACCGATATAACTTTCCCCGGTAGTTTGAACCCTTCCCGATCACTGACCCCTACCATTTGTCTCACAGTGTAATAATTGAAAAGCTTTTAGATAATTTTTGACGGTAGCATTGTTCGAGTAAATAAATATATTTGAATCTGCATTAGATTTTTCGTTGTTACACTTTCATAATTTCTTCCGAGACATAATTGAGTTTTCCTCGAAAGCATGCATGCATGCAAGCATTTCGTCTCAGGGGAATATTGCTTGTCGCCATTGATACATATAGTCGTTTAAAGTACACAACCGCGTATCAAGAATATGCAAGAATTCGTATGTGCGGTTGCCCAAATTTTATCGGAGAGAGTAAAACGTATCTTATTCCAAAACGGTTCGATATATCCGGTAAGCAAATATCGTTTTTGGCACAAATGTCAGATACAAGGTTTTGCAGAACCACGATATGCGATTTTGCACTTTAAATGACGATATGAATATATTAGACGTCAGAAACTAAACTTTTGATTTATTTACGGTGCATTTTATGTACAGTTTTCTTATCTAAAAAAGGTCCGAAAACGATGTCTTATCCGGAATCATGATTTTAGTTGTACGAAATTAGTTCATTCAGTTTAATATTTGATCATTTAGTGTTGGAATGCTGAAACGATGAGGACATAAAAGAAAGATCGCAGCCCAGAGAGGCCACTACCTAGTTAAAAGAAGTGACCCGTCAATTGTTGAGTGTGTACCCTTCGATTGCTTCTAGGAGTTTCCAGGTTCAATCTCCCTCTACCGAGGAAGAAAATTCGATTAATCCAGTACGACTCCGGGAGCAATCGCAAAAGAATATGCGGCATTTGATCTTTTTATATCCAATGAAATGTTCGCTTTTGTTTGATCATATCCTATTGGCCCCCTCTAAGCCCGAGCATGTTGAGAAGCGATTAGTCCCTTTTAAAAAGTAGAAATAAAAATTTACGCCAACAGCGATTTTAAGCGGGGGTTCTCAGGTTTGCTAAGCGAATACTCTCTCTACATGCCAACGTCGCATGTGAAATTTTTAATTTTGTAGATTAACTGCGTACATACATATCATTAAATCTTTTCTTGTGTCCGTAAGGGATGAGTCGAAACTAATTGATCTCCAATAATACCCGCATCAGACCATTTGCGACTAATTAATGCCCAATTGAACGCCATTGAGACTAATCCCGGAATACTCTCTGTAGTAATTAGTCGAACAATTTTTTCCATGGTTTGTATAAATGTTTTTCGTATTAGTGTATTAATTACTGAACGTGCTTGCATTACTTTTTGTTTTGTTTTTCCTAACTCCCAAATAGCATCTACCAGGGCCGGCCGCTGGATTTCTCTTTGGGGAGGTTTATGTAAAGTCATTCCTAACAGCCAAAAACATCATTACACAACTCACCTAGATATACACTCTAAAAAGTGCATGTAAAGCTACTAATGAAAAGTGTTTATTTTTCAACCAGGTTCTGTGCTAATATACACACAAGATGTTCAATATTTGATTTTGAACATGAGTTGTTTAAAATATAGACATAAATATACACATGAAATCTTTAAAATTTTAAAATTTTGAAAGTAAAAATATATTTTTTTAGAAATAATAAATATTAAGTGCTCATATTTAATAAATTTTATACACTTTGAGTGTAATTTTTCTCTACATGACAAATTTGGTATGTAAAAGTAAGCAGACAGTGTTTAATTTTGCACACATTAGGACAGGAAACTGGTTACCTCTCTCTATGTGCGTAAATTTAAATAAACATTTTTTTACAGGAAACTTTAAACATTTTATGTTTAAACTGTGAAGTTGTGAACAATAAATGTTTAGAACTCAAAAAAACAAATTTAAAATTTGTTCTACGCCACATATATTTATGATAGGTAAAAGTAAACAAGCAGTCTTTAATTTAATTAGCACTGTATGTAAATTTGCATTCATTAAGAGAGAAAACTGGTTACCTAACTTAGTATGCGCAAATTTTAACAAAAATTTTTTAGAGTGTAGATAACCATTCTTTTAATACTGAGTCGACATTAACATCCAGATTGCGATGAATATTGACAAAATGTAGCCCATTTTGTGCTTGTTCTCTGCCCATGCCTGCACATGCATGCTGATATTCATTGAATTATTTCTTGAATGATAAATAAATAGGGGAGCGAAGGGTATTATGGACCACGTAAGGAAAAATTTCTGTAGGAAAAACGGAAATCTGATCTTTTGCTCATTTTTAATGGATAACTAAGCCCAACCAAAATAGAAACATATTTTGATACGGCAAATGTTAAAGCCGTTTCTTTAGACTTTTTTTGTCCTGATAACGAATCCGGAAGCATAAAGTTCACACCAGCTCCACATATTTGAAAAAAAAAACGAGGCCAAGGTGTCAAAAAAATCGCGTTTTTTGCAATATTTCAAAAGTTCTAGCAAAGCAACAAAAGATGATAGAACCTTCCTGGCTTAAATTAAAGCCAGAACTCTCGACTACTATCTCTGAAAATACCATTTGTTATATACTCTTATTTGTTTTTATTTTATTTTAGAAAAATTAGGAACAAGTTGAATCAAAGTTTTAAACGTTTGCTTATTATAGGTTTCAAAAGGAAGTGTCATTGACATTGGTTATTGTGGTACACCAACTGTAAATTGAATTATTGTAGAAAAATTTATCTTCCTCATGATTCCAGAAAATTATAAAAATAATAAATTATTATAAAATTAATAGCACCAATAGCTGACACTACGAAAATACAAATAAGCCACAATACTCGCTGGTGTAATTATTTAATTTTGTACGTTTCAAAAAATAAAAAATAAGCATTCAAAATCTAAAAAAATAAATTTTTAGAACAAAAACGTGTATTTTGCAAATATAGGACTTGACAAAAAACGTACGTTTCATTAAAGTGCACGCAAACCTTTCATCGAAAGGGGTCAAAATGCAATGCATAATATAATATATTTTCAAGTACAATATTTGACTGCAAGGTTTTATATATTTATTGGTTTCCCTTCACAGAGTTCATTTGTGCTTCAATCGCTATTTTAAATGAGTCTCGGTTTATTTTAAATTGGTGGTAACCATTAGCCGCGCTTCGCTCCCCTAATTGCAAGGAAAAACAATGTTGTCACCAATAGCATATTTTAATAAAAAAGATTTACGGATATCTTAAAATTTGTTTTTGTTATTTATGGCCTTTTAACAATTATTTCAACAATTTTTCCTGAGCTTGAGGCGATTTCTAATGAAAAAATGTTGCGGAAAAAACAACAATAATTTACCCATAGGTAGAAGTGATAACTACTATCACATCTCCTCATCAGACTTCTTCACCGCGGTCACTGGGATATGAACCATTAAAATTGTTGACATCTTAAAATATTTTTTACCATTATTATCTTAAACTAAATGATGGCAACTTTGTATGCATATTTTCCTCCAAAAGGGGGAGTTTAGACCTCAAAACCCCCTTTGCGGCCATGCCTGGCATCTACAAATCGGAGCGCAGAACGAAAATCCATTAGACGAAAAAATTTTATCGCTAAAATATCAAATAAATACATATAGGAATATGGTACTTAGTACAGTGAAACCCGCTTAAGTAACCAACATTTTTGGGCACCGTGAATATTTTAATATAATCTGAAGAAAATCCCTCTCTTAAGTACCTCCCCGCTTATTTACCCAACCCGCCTAAGAACTAAAATTTTTCGTACCCCATTTACAATTTTACTTATAATTTTCCCCTTTTAAGTGCTCCCGCAACCCGTTGGGCAAAAAAAAATCTAAAAAATCAACGGTAATTTTTAGCCACTTGAAACTTGCACATTGTTACACTAAAATTGAATGGGCTATTAACACTTCTGAGAAAAAAGTTTGATATTTCGATGAAAATTTGATGATTTTTTTTCAGTGTTCTAAAAAGTTTTAAGCTTAGGTTTATATGGTATTTGTTAGGGAATGAACTGTGTTTTTATTGAAAAATCTTAAAAATTAATAAATAAGCATAAGTGGCAAACAACATCAGTGTGAATTCGTTCCGAAATGATAGATATGTATGTCCAATACTGTATGTATGTATAAATTTGTATAATCAATAATTTTAAAGAATTGAATTCTTGAAAAATTACATAACATTGCTTTATCGATTTTTTATAAAATTTTTGTTTATGTATTTATGTGTTTAAATAATGCAACGATCTCGAGGTACTTAAGCGGGTTCTTTTAAATACCCGACCCGTCTAAGTACCTCAAAAAGCTGACATTTTTCGTGAGGTACTTAAGCGGGTTTTACTGTAGTAGTATTACAATCAGTCGTGTAATATTTTTTTAATTCGCTTCTATGTATTGCAGGAAATGCGATTCATACGCTCAACGAACAATAAGTAGAGATACATTTTTCACAGCCAACGAAGCGACATACCGAAACTTTAGCTCGAATCGATATAATCACCTGAACTAGTAGACACCGCCGAGCCACAATGGACGACGGTGCAAAAAGTGAAAAATTTAATGGACACAAGATGGAGATAGCGCACCATGATCCGTAAGTAAAATTCAAAATGTACTCTTTAAACATTTCGAAAGTGGCTGTTGCCATAGAATAGGTATGTATGTATTTATATCAATGTGTATGATTTTGTAGGTATGTACATTAGGGTGCCCATCGAAAATGCCTTTTTTTGGAAATTTCAAGACCCTACACCCTAATTTTATTCGTTTTTATGAGAAATATTATTACCTATTTTTGCGGAATTTTGAAAGGTCATTTAGAGGTCACGACATGTCGATTTAGGTCAGAACATTGGATTTGGTAGATCTATGCGTTTTTGAATGTTTATTTTCGATTAGATTTCAAAGATCGAATATGATCTGAAAAGAGGATACATAGGCCTTTAAAATGGTATATAATAATCTATTGTCGGACTAGGCTTGTTGGGTTTTTTTATCGGGTAAATTAAAAAAGGCCCATATTTCGCTTAATTTTTTAAAATTTGACCATCGATAATTTCTACAATTTCAAAATATGGAGTAATATCTAACATTAAATCCATTTTCAAATAAACTGATATCTTATTTATTGCAAGCGCATACAATTTGTCTAATTTAGGCGACTTTTCTTAAATACGGCCTTGAAGTGTTTATGTACCGGAATTTCAGATTTTTTGAGCAGTGTAGCTAAGGAGTTCTTCCAAATTTATTCAAAATTGATATATATAGTCGCTCTTTAGCAAACAAGTGGGTTTTCAAGAAATTTTAGGAAAATGGGTGTGGCACCGCCCACTTATATGATATATGCGTATCTCAAAAACTACTTGACCGATCTCAACCAAATTTGGTACACACATTGCGCTTAGCCTCCTTAAGTAGTGTCTCGGACAAAACCTACTCCTCCTAAAATATAGCTAGCTTAGAGTTTTTTGAAATTACCGTTACATTGGTGGAACCCGTGGTTTTTATCCGATTTCAAAAATTTCCAAAATGGCGCTTAAGAAGCCTAAGCGGAATATGTTCACCAAATTTGGTTGAGATTGGTCAAGTAGTTTTTGAGATACACATATCAGATATAAGTGACCTAAATCGACAGGTCGCAACCTCTAAATGACCTTTAAAAATCTATAAAAAGGGGCAAAAATATTTCACATAAAAACGAATAAAATTACGGGGTAGGGTCTTGAAATTTCCAAAAAAAAACATTTTCGATGGGCACCCTAATGTACATGTGTGGTTTCTATGACTTCTCATATTTGCTCTATTTTCAACACACCCTCATAATCAGCATATTATTACTTAATATGTTTCTATGTATTCGTTTGAATTCCGCAACCTAATTATTAATTTCTAACAGAAAAGTTGTTTAGCAAGAAAACCGACTCGCCTCAAGCCGCCTTCTTAATGACGAATGTTCCGCACGCTCTTTGCATTAAGCACGCGCTGCAGCCATAATAAGTATTGACCAACATTTTGCTTTTGCACGGTGTGTCAGAATCGGACGTTTGTAGTTCTTCACTAAATAGATTCTCAATTTTAAATTTAAAAACTTCAGAGGATTAGGCATGACTTTAGAGTAAGTCAGTCTGATTTCGGCTGTAATCCATAATGCCGTAAATATCTAACTATAGTATACGAGGATTGCTATATATATTTCTGGCCTTAAAGCTCAATTAGTCAACGACGTAGCGTAAACGTAAGTTGACGTACGTAGCAGCGTATACAATTTACTGTTGATAGAGAGAGAGAGAAGCAACGGTAACGTCACCGCCATGCGGTGGTGAGTTTTCGTTAACACACGAATCCCATAAGCTAGATCGTGTCTGCGTCAACCTACGTCTACGCTACGTCGTTGACTGTTTGCGCTTTTAAGCACATCTAGTATTGTCAGGTGCCATCTGACGTTTCCATTGAAAACTTTGACATATTTCACCATGAGTGCACGCCATGAGCACGTGAAAATATTCGTGCGATAATTTTTCAGATGAGGCTCGTCTAAAATCCGTTCAAATGAATGTAAAAGTGTATTGATCATTATGGAGAATATTATGAAAACACTTAACTAATTTTCAATCACCAATGTTCTATTGTTAGGCCAGAAATATAAATACCAACCCCCGTACATATGTCTGTGTATAAAAACTTTAAAGAAAACATTCACTAGTGATATGCCCGAATTCATTTATTTTTGGAGACCTTAAAAGTTTTGTTAATTGAATTTTTACCATACCTTTTCAATCATAACTACTATAACACCTTGCAACCGAATATATTTAAATAAAAAAGTTATTAAGTTGGAGGGAAAATTTTTGAAGGAAGCAACAAGTAAGCTTTCAAACCAGGTGGGATGGTAACAAAAAAAAACAATAGAACATTTGACTCCAGGATGTGATCAATTGTGAATTATTTCGATCCCGTCAGAACTTATACAACGGTGAAAGATATTTTTTAACATAGATAGTATAAAATATAGTATAAAGTTCCTTTAAAAAAGTCATTTGAATGAGTGTGACTGGTGGGACATTGAAAATCCCTACTATATTTTACCTTAATTCACTCAAAAACGAATTTTAGCCAATAAACATAACTTTGTAGGCAGATTTTCGTGTGTTGTAAAATGTTTACTATACGCTTTCGTTTTCATTAACACTTAAGCTTCTTGTAAATAAAAAAAAAATATTTTAAGTTGCGACTGGTGGCACAGATCCTAGTGGATACTGTAAAGTAATTATATACGAAGTAATAAAAAAAATGCTGCTACTTTTTATTCTTCTAATTATCTTTCAATAGACTAATGAGATGTGGTCATTTAGCAAGAAGTTATTACTGAAATAAGGATAATTAGGACATTTTAAAATTTATTCCGATTTCCTCTTATAGATTGAATGGCCCTTAGGCGTTAAAGAGCTTAGTTGTTCGTCTTTCCAATGTCTTGAATGCAGTCCCAGGCCTTGCGAATACCGAGGCATATGTCCCAAAAGGAAAGTGGAGCTTATATCCATCACTGTCGATGGATCGATATACATACATATATATTTTGTCCTGGTTTCAGTTTTTAAGACGTCGGTAAAGATTCTACCATAAGTAATCCCCAACTCAGTATCAGAGGACTCAACATTATAGAATCTCCTAAGCAAAGGTGATGGCTAATGGTCGCTCCTTGCTGATCTTCAGCTCCGAGCTCTTTTCCACAAAACCTAAGTTCATCCACCAAGTAGTAAAGCTGTTAACGAAAATTATTTCAGCGGGAAACAGTTACTAACGGCCACACTTTATATGTAATTTATTAATACATGAATATGTATACAATATGTGGAGCCCTAAATAGATTTGACTGCAAGTCCGAAACATGCGTTTGAAATCATGGAAAAGTATATTCAGTTGATCTGAACTCATACACTGTACTTTTCAAGTAAATTTATATGTACATAGATATGTATTTATGAACCGTGTGTTATTTGTATGGTAAATATTTATGCACAACAAAGAAAATGGAAACTTGAAGATTGTAAATCGTTAGATATACAAAGTGGCATTTGTACATATGTAAGTAGAGGAGTTGATAAGCTGGGCGGAACCAACAAGAAGATACTTATTTTCATACTTATGCCCATTGTTCATTAAGTCATTTGCAGAAGGGAGAGATATCCATTGCCCCAACGAAAGCGAAAATTAAGCACGGTTAATTTGCTTAGCTTGATTTTAGTTAGGAAACTTCAAATGTATCGTGAGCCAAGCAGTTGGCCTTGAATGCCGTTGCAGCTGATTAAACCTGGTTGTTTGGAATGCGTTTCCCACGTCACTCCACTCGGTTCAACAACACAATACAAAAACAGTTTGTTAATAAATTGTTTAATATTCTACATATGCACATATGCACATATGCATGAACTCTAGAAATTTTTTACTCAGCTGTTTTGAGATTTAGCACACGCATATGTAATTTGCTAAAAATTCACAAAACACCTGAAATAAAAAATGTAATATGGCGCATTTTGAAATACAATATCCGATTGTTGGCCTTACAGCTTTCTCTAAATATCACATAATATTAATATATCGTATTTTATGAAAGGCGATTGTATTTTTATGAGTAGCTGTTTTTTCATGGTAGAACACACTCGGAGGTTTGCCATTGCCTGCCGAGAGGTGACCACTATTAGAAAAAACTAGGTGCTTATATTTTTAATTTTTCTAAAAGTTTCACCAAATCTCAAAAATCCCATCAAGGTCATATGCACATTTATAACGACGATATTTAATGTAATACTCAATTTAATTTCCAAATTTAGTGACTGCATTTCTTTAGTCCATATCATGCCTGAATTTTCATCTTCCAATCAAAATATTTTTTGGGAAAATATAAACTAACTAAATCAGTTTTAAACTTTTAAAAGTTTGTTGGTCGATTCATTTGAAATATTCGAAATTGGTGACGGTACTCTCGCATGCACACTCAATAAGTATTACTTATACACATATGTATGCTTGTATATTAGGGTGGTCCTAAATGTAGGAGGCAAATTTTTACATCACATTTCCTAAGCCTCAATCCCTGCAACGATGCTACTAAAGTCGAAGTTATCACGAATACAATTTGGTCCCGATTGGAGTCGCTTAAAGCGGGTCGCACAGGGGTCAAAGTTCCGATTACCCTATGAAGACGTCTTAACCGACTCCAATTGTAAGAAAAATTTGATATCTACGACTTTAGTAGTGTCGATTTTGGGCATTAAATGAAATAAAGATTTTTAATTTCTTGAGTCTCCATAGGGGGATCTGGCCTTTGACCCCTTTGCGACACGGGGCACTACTCAAATCCGAAAAAAGTCAGAAAAAATGCAATAACTGAATGCTAAAAGCAATCGTGAATTTTTGAACTTATTTGCCTTTGATCTTTTCTAAATAAAAACTATCTTTTATGTTAATTTTGTAATTTTTGGTCATGTCGTCCTACCAACAAAAGCATTTTCACTGTATAAAACCGGTTGTCCTGTTTTTTTTTCTAAAATCGGAAACCGTTTTTTTTTTTTAATTGCAATTTCTCGAAACTGGTTTTGAAAAAATCTTGTTATTTAACAAAAACCGTTTAAGTCGAAATTCGAAAAAATTTCATCAAAATTTTCCGCTTTTTAATTAGATTTCTTACCTACATACATCCATATGTAACAACCTTTCGTTTTCTTTATTTTCTTTCAAATAGCAATGAAATTGTCGAAGCAGAGCCACTCTCTTGGAAATTTTGGAAGAAACGTCGCTATGTTGTCGTACTGCTAGCATTCCTTGGATTCTTTAACGTTTACTCGTTGCGCGTCAACCTCAGTGTAGCCATTGTTGCTATGACAGAGAATCGCACTGTCATCGATGATGCTGGTAATGTCTCATATGAACAAGACTTTCCATGGGACTCGAAGCAAAAAGGTCTCATTTTGAGCTCGTTCTTCTATGGTTACATAACGACACAGTTTATTGGCGGTTTTATTGGCGCTAAAATTGGTGGTAACATTGTAAGTAAACGCGCATAGCTACTTGCATACATAGTATGCATTAAGCGGTTTCTGTATAAATACAAATTTTTAATTGCTTGTCGCTTTGGTTTAGGTTTTCGGCTTGGGCATCGGCACAACTGCTCTTCTAACTCTACTTACACCGCTGGCGGCTAAACACAGTCTTGAAATGTTCCTCGCTGTGCGCATCATAGAAGGTGTTTTTGAGGTAAATTTGTGGTTTTGTAGATATTTATGTATTTACATATGTATATTTGTCAGCGAATGAGCATACATACAAGAATAAACCATTTTTAGCATTGTGTGCTGGAAGAACGTCATAATCCAAAAAATTTTGAATAGATATTTTCAAATGACTTTGGTAATTTTTTTCCAAACAATATTTTATTTTTAATTCGAATTTAATCATAGTGTCCAGCCCTCAAGAAAACGACAAATTCATATAAAAAACACGAGAAAATTAAAAGGGAATTTTCTTCTATCAAAATTTCTTAAAGTAGTTTGCAGCTCTTACGAAAAAATGTTAATTTCTTGAAAAAAAAAATTACAACAACGGTAAAGTATTTACAAGCGACAGAAAGAATGGATTATATTTGTTGAAATTTTTTTCGAGAGCTGGATACTAAAAACCACCTTACCAAATAAAAATGTATAACAATCTCCTGGAAAATACCCGAATTCAATGCTCTAGAGAACTTTTTCATTAATATTTGAAAGCAATTTCGATTGGCGTTATGAGCTCTTGAAACGCACGTATTATGAGCTCTGCCACGCAACGGCATGAAAATCAACTTGGTAATATTAACAGTAGGACTTTCCAGGAGAATGTATTTTTGGTTTTACAGTGGAAAGTCTTCACTCCAGATCATTTTATCGAGCTTCAAAGTGTAGTTGCTAACGCCCAGTTTTATCAAGAGCACTTAGATAAGTACTTTTTATAGCGAAGATCTTTACGAAGATGTTTATCACTGGTCTAAGCTGTCTAAACAATTTGTATGGAGAAACAAAGAGTTAAGCGCTCTCGGCTCGTTACTCGGCCAAAATATATTTCGTGGGAGAAGCTTTTTAAAGATGTCTATAGATTTTATATCAATCATGAAGAAAATATATCTTATGGTATAACCTTTTTAAAGATTTATTTCGAGTTTATTGGCTTAGTGCTAACCTCTTTCTGGCCGTCGCTGTTTTAGATGTATAGAAGCTTTTTCTAATCTAAATCAGTCACGATCAAAACATATCCCGCGAACCAAGCTTTTTTAAGCTTTAGGCGCTCTCGAATTAAAAGCGTTTTATGATCGTCCCTGATTTGAATCACGGCGCGCCACTTCAAAGGCACGCGTTTCAAAGCTTTTGAAAGCTTTTTGCACGCTTTAGATACGGCTAAATAAAGGCTTCCAATGACCAAAATTGATATGAATACACAAAGGATATCGCAAAGCTGCAGTGGAAAAATTTAGCCAAGATATTCGTCTCTCAGCTAAGACTCTAGCTCTCTTTACGAGAGTTTAACGAGAAAATACATTAGAAGAAGCGGAAACGAGTGAGTGCGAAATGTTGCTGTCCGAAAGGAAAGGCGCTCAAAAATTGTATCTATCAGAAATTTCGTCGACTAAATCGCGGTTTCAAGTCCGAGCCGAGCTATTTTAAAAAGAGAACGGTGACCCTATGAATTATGTTCAGAGCATCTTTAAATTATAGTGGAACACTCTCTCATCACATTGAAAGAAGTCAAAGGCGATGACGAATACCCTGATACACAGATGTGGCCACCCAAACAGACAGCTGCTTGCAGAGGAGCCCTCGCCAAGGCACGTCAGGAGGCATCTATATGAACTGACGGACGAAGTCCAGAGGTTCATTAAGCAGCCTCTGGACCCGTCAGCATACCGACAGGCCCTGAACGGCATTCACAGGGACTCAGTCTCGAGTTATGTAGACTCTAGATCTGTGAATGCCGTTCTAGCCACACAAACACCGGCCATTGACGCGACGGAGCTCCATCTGCCTCGAGAGACAAGAACAACAATATCCCAACTTCGCTCTGGCTACTGCAGCCGGCTAAACTCTTACCTGAGTAGGCTAAATGCGGATGTGCCGAATGAATGTCAGGCATGCGGAGAGACCCCTCACGACTCGAAACATCTCTTCGCATGCCCGGAAAACCCCCTGTGAACCGACCCCATAGAGGCTGCACGCTTCTTGCGGCTGCCGTTAGTGGAACTCGACGACAACGACTGAGATATCAACCGATCTGGGCGGGGTTGTTGTAGCCGCTACAACAACAACAACAAAGAATACCCTGATACCATGGTCAATGATGGCAGAATCGATTTATCGCTTTCAGTCTTATCATTATCCACGAACAGAATGGCGTGTCAAAAATAACACTGCCGGAGGCATCTGAGCTTTTCAACGACGGCGGCGAGGAATATGGTCTGAAGAAAGCATGCTGGCCAATTGAAACAGAAAAAGGTTCCGCAGTCCCCTGATATACATACGCATCAGCAGCCTTCTAATATCTGTGTCACGTACCCAATCCGTGTTTTCTAAACCTCCCCCTTCTCTCTTCCATCCCAGAAGTAAATAACACAGGTAGCCAAAACGATGTTTACTAGTTCCTTTAGGGCTCCTTGAGGCGAGAATACGATTTAGGAATTTGTTTTCATTGCACATATTAAATTACTACATGTGACAACTTGTAGCCCTATAACAACCAGCATTCTCCTGGCATTCTAATAAATGTGCACACTTGTATATACATATATAAGTAAGTATATATATGGGCTTAACTGTAATCTTTTTCTTGCAGGGTGTCACATTCCCCTGCATACACGCTGTCTGGGCACGCTGGTCTCCACCTCTTGAACGTTCACGAATGGCATCCATTGCCTTTGCCGGAAACTACGCTGGTACCGTTGTGGCGATGCCCTCATCGGGTTTACTAGCTTCGGCTTACGGCTGGGAGAGTGTCTTCTATGTGTTTGGTGCCATTGGTTTGGTGTGGTTTATTGTATGGATGTTGATGGTGCGTTCGGGTCCTGATCGCGATCGTTTCTGTTCGGACGATGAACGTGAATACATACAGAGGAAGATTGGTTATAATGGAAGTCAGAATATTAAACATCCTTGGCGAGCGATATTTACATCTAAACCATTTTATGCAATCGTGGCGTCACATTTCTCAGAAAACTGGGGTTTCTATACGCTGCTGACGCAATTGCCAACATTTTTGAAAGGTTTGCGAATTTAACACCAACAAATTTCACAGGACCTTTTATTATTTTGATTGTTTTTTGCAGATACATTGAACTTTAATTTGGACAAGACTGGTTTTCTATCTGCTGTCCCATATCTTGCCATGGGTATTCTGCTCGGTATCTCAGGTTATTTGGCTGACTGGTTGCAGGTGAAGAAAATATTGACCACAACACAGGTTCGTCGCTACTTCAATTGCGGCGCTTTCCTCGCACAAACTACCTTCATGATTCTGACTGCTTATTTGTTGGATCCAGCGTGGTCGGTGGTTTGCATTACTATCGCCGTTGGATTGGGTGCCTTCGCGTGGTCTGGTTTTGCGTAAGTATCGGGAATATATAGCCAATAGATTCCTTTTAGTTAAGACATATTTTTTCCGATACTTGTAGCGTCAACCACCTTGATGTAGCGCCCCAACATGCCAGCGTTTTAATGGGCATTGGCAACACATTTGCCACGATCCCCGGTATCGTCAGTCCCATGCTGACTGGTTACTTAGTTACGAATCAAACTTCTGACGAGTGGCAAGCGGTGTTCTTCATTTCTGCTGGCATATATCTTATCGGCTGTCTCATCTATTGGTTCTGGGCATCTGGTGAGCTGCAAGAGTGGGCCAAATCGCCAGAGCAAAAGGCCGCTGAAGCCGAGCAGAGACAAAGCGCATTAACGGTAAATGGCGCCGCAAAGGAAGGCTATGTCAACGCTGCCGCCGATCTGAAAGAACAGTGAAGTGATGAAATTAGTCTGAGAACGGGGCTTACAGGGGAAATAAGCATAGAGTTGTATGTAAATATAAATGTACATATATTCATACAAATTCATGAGGAAAAGTTGTGATACAATGCATTGACAGCGTGAAAGTGCTTAACGAACATTTCCTAATAATTTTTCGTGATGAGTTAACATTTAGAAAAAAGTTATTGTAGTTTTACTGTTAGTTAAGTACAATGTTTACATACATAGGTGAACAATTAAAATATAAAGGAAATTAAAACTAATCTAAACATATGCATTTGTGTGTTCGTAGCCGGTTGGCAACATTTATTTAAGTGCCTAAAAGTATGCAGCCAAATTCGTATTTTACAGATGTAGCGAGGAGGGAACAACACAAATACAAACGTTTGTATTTGTGAATTGCTTATTCAACCCAGCAGGAAAATGTGGTTCCAAATTTTAGTTTGCTTCGAATACTATGCTACTGATTTCACTGAGCTGCAATGCCTTTTTCTAATTGCTGAACTTATAGTTCAAATTGGCACTGAATTGCTAACTTTCACTGATAACGAAAAAGTTCAGGTTTATGCAGAATTGGCAAACTTGGCAATGTTAAATTCGGCAGCTGCTTTTGTGGAAGAGGTGTTTACGTACATACATATATGTATCGAAAATATAGCGCTGATCCAATACATTTCGTGTAAAATCCTGTAAAAATGTCAAACAATGTCCTGCAAATTCGTGTAAACTCCTGTATGTTCATGGCGTACTGGATCAGAGCTAATGTTTCTCTCACTCTGTACTTCCGCCATGAAACATCTTCTAATAAAAACCCATTTTCCGTTCGGAGGCGACGCACTATGACGGCTCTGCACAGTAGGAGAAATGGCCAATCTGGCGGCGCCTTGTTAATGGCTTCGAATAATAACAAAATTTTAGTGTAATATTTTTTTTAAATTTGTTTTTTTTTCATATAATAAATAAATTGATTAATTAAAGCTAATGTTTCATGCTGTACAGGAAAATATGTAGAAACTATTCCGAGGCAGAGTTTTCGGCAATATGGCTGTCAGGTCATTTATTTACATCTGCAAGTGTAGTATCGAGGTTTTCCGCGTGTGGTTCCGCCTATAATTACAGAAATCTTTGGTTATTGCTTCAAGCGCAACTTCTGACATCATTCCTGTTGGTAACGAAAAATTTTCAATAATATTTGCGCCATGTATTTTTGAATAAATGCAGGCATGTAAAACTACAAATATATCTGTATATACGCGAAAAGCTTCTATGTTTACTGCCTACCCACAAGCCATTGTGCGCAAAATTACGCAAAGTTTGCTATAGAGGCCAAAGTCGACTGCTGAAAAAAAATTTTGTCAGTATTCCCGTTGTTTGCGTTGCCTTAACCCGTAATTGCAATGTCCACCAATATACCCATTTGTTTTCTCAGTTCAAGTTGAATTGTGGCACACTTATTTTATTATTATTTTATTATCTTCAGTTTTGCATAAATAAGAAAAAAAAGTAAAATAACTCGCTCTCGTATACCCGTAGTTGTGTAGTCAACTGACACGTTTACTTGCACGCCTTACCTCAAAAGTCATATAATTTAAAAGTAATTAAATATTATTGTGGAAGATATTTCACAGTATTCCTTGTGCACATATATATTACTTTCTCATGTTATTAAAATAAAGTTAAAAATTGGAAAAATATGCATTGATTTAAATCAATTCCTCCATTTATATGACATTTTAGTATTTCTAAGCGTTTTGGTTAATAATTCTTACACTTAATCGAAGCTTTTTGCTGTTTAAAGTTATTTTATATATATATTAAGTGTATCCCTGTAGCAATTTAAATCAGGTAATCTCAGAGTGCGGCGTTTCTGGAAAACATCTGATTCTTTTTTCATTTCTGAGTATGCACAATGTTCGATCGAGTGTGGTAATAAAAATTAAAAAAAATGGAATTTTAGTTTTTCAAATCGTTTGGTGACACAGTAGTGTTATTGTACTATATTTGTTCGTTATGGCAAGAAGAACATTTTCACGGTTTAATTTTTAACATTTTAAAGTATTTTGAACTATTAAAATTAAAGCATCGTGAAATTTAAAAAATTACAAAATAGCTGCGACAGATATTCTGCATGCTGCCGTTTCTTTAATTTGGTGGCACACTCTTGAAACTTCACATGTTTGTTGTATTTGATGTCAGCGTCCATTTCCTTTAATATGAAGATTCTATTTAAAAACTTCCCAAAGTTATTAAAGAAAAAACAATTATAATTTTTTTCCAGTGACAATGAAAAAATTAGTAATTTCGCTATTTTTTCGCCTAAGTAAACTTTTTAAGGCTAAAATCGTTCAAATACTCGATTTATTTTGTACTTGTTTCTGGAGCTCCATTTTTGAAATATATACAAGAAGAATGCTTTAGTGTTTTTTTTTCTGGCGAGAGAAAGAAGTGCCACTAAAACAAACAACTCGTGATATTTTTTCATATACATATGTACGTTTATTTCAAATTTTTCGGATTGGAAAACTTGGAATCCTGAACCAATTTCGAGCAAATGTGCATTGGTGCATTTTCAAAAAACCTATTAGTGCTTGATCACGAAAAAATCGTACAAATACGTATAGCTTAGAAACGCTTTCTTTATTAGATATATCATCCAGAAAATGTAGATGACTATGTTAATAGCGACATCATTGAATATGTATGTTATATCAGATATAAGGTACTTTCAATCATCTATTATATACTGAGTACGAAATTAATTTAAATACTCTCATTTCGGATATAAAAATAATGCTTTCTCATTTTCAAATATATGTAACTTGCGTATTTTTGTTGGACGCCTTCTCATTTGCATTTTATTATTCTTATTTAGAGTTGACAAATCTGATTTTCGACTATACTGATTTAGACCTATAAGTTATAAGTAGAAAGGTATTTTTCACCCTTTTGATTTCTTTGCAAAAAAGCGCATTCACGTCCCATTTATTATTATTATTTTTTTCAAATATTAAAACGTCTTCATTAAACTTGGAATGGGGCTCTTCCATCCTACTTTTCTCTTTAATACTTTGTATGGGGTCTGTTGCACAAAAGTAAAAAGGGTGAGAAAATACCTTTCCAATGATACCCCATAAGTCTAAATCGGTAAAGTTTTGGCTGAGCTATTCAAGTTTTTCTTAACCCAATCTTTGAAAAAGTTCAAAAACAGCAGGAAAAATCTCATTATTTTGATTTTTTAACTTAAACTATTTTTTCAACTGAGGTGATTTAAAAAAAATATATATTTTTATTCATAAAAAACTCCATTTTTGGAGATATTTTCAAATCGCTTTTGTAATTCCAATGGAAAAACAGTACCACTTTTTTTTGTATGGTAAGTGATGCAGTCTAATATACATACATACAGACCGTACACGGGATTTAAAAACGTTTATGGCACAAATAACAATAAATAAACAACAAGTTAATTTTCCTTTGACCATTTTAGTAATGATTGTCAAATTTTGCGCCACAGTATCGTAAGAATGTTAACACCCACGAACTAAACCAAGAAGGCAGATAGGAATTTACAAAAACAAAACTATAGCAACAAATCGCAGAGGCCAATACACTCGGTTGGCGCAAAAATGGCGTGAAAAGAGTTCATATTTACAAATTCAAGAAAATTTAAGCGCAGCTAATAAAAGCACTTACAAACTCACATACATACAGATGTATATACATATAAACATACACACCAACAAATATGAAATGTCCATACGCAAACGTACTGCATACCACATACATTTATAAATAAAAATTTAAGCCCAAAACAATTCGGTGTGCAGATGGTTTTTGGCTCTTAGCCAACCTTAAACAACAACAAGAGTTTTATTGAAATTAATTGGCAAATTTTTGGAATTCCGATGCAAAATGAGCGAAGCGATGAGGTGCACATCATCAGCTGAAAATGAGTTGGAACAACTTAATAAGTAGAGGCAGTTGAGGAATAAAGCGTTGAAGGGTGGCTATGAATTGGTAATGGACGATGTTGGACGATATATGTAACGTCGTAAGGCGCATAATAAAATATCTTAATTTGCGTGGGCAGCGTTTGGAGGCTTTTCGGATAAAAGTATTTATGCGATTAAATTTAAATAACTACGCAGAATTCTCTACAAACATCTTTTTCGAATATTTCGTTCCCATAACTTGTAATAAAATTCGCTTGATGAATTAATGTAAACACAAAAAAATTTGTGAAGATAAAAAGACAAATTCACCAATGTATGTTCATTAGGGCGGGTCAATTTGTATGGGAGATTTTTTCGGCTATGCGCCTATGGCACAGAACGATTCTGTGTGTAATTCTAAGCAAATTTGGCGAAGAAACCATGGGTATAAAATCAATTTGGAGTTTGCTAAATTGCAAAAATAGGTATTTTAGTATTTTGCTGTAGTGTCGTAATTTTGTACAAAAAAATGCATTTTTTTTTTGGTATGAGGAATTCATTTCTGCACTTATCTTTTTCTTAGAACTTGCAGGGGAGGGTGCAACAGTGAAAATTTTCAAATTTTTTTCGAAACTTATTTTCGCAATATGGCAAACTCCAAATTGATTTTAGGCCCATAGTTCCTTCGGCAAATTTGCTTAGAATTACACGTAGAATTCTTCTATGCCATACGCGCATAGTAAAAAAAATGACCCGCCCTAATGTACATTTGTATATATGAAGAGTGCTGTAAATATTTACTTTATGATGCTAAGATTTCTTCAAGATTATGGCCCAAGGTTGGATACGAAGGGCAGTTCTTATTTGACATTCATAAGCTATTTATTGCACCTACACACAGAGTAAACTTTAAGTTATCGAAATGCGTTTTGTATTACTCAAAAGTAAATCTTTTGAGTTAACAAAATCCCAGGAGAACGAATTTTACCGTTGTATACCTAAGATATTAGTTTCCGTTATTACACACTGCATTAAACTATTTTCTTCTAAAAACGATATTATGTATAGTCATATAGGAGATTTCCATTGAAGTGAAGGCGAGTAATCTGCTACAGTCTGCTTTCTAGATATATACGGACTCGGATCACTCTCAAATCTATACTTGCCCCCGGAACAAAGAGGTAGAAGAAACAACTCGTCGAGAGATCGAAATTGTCCTAAAAACCACGGCGATGACATTTATTCAGAGCAGGGAAAATTCAGATACTCATTGAAATACTGCCCACGGGTGCAATTATATTCCTAGGGAAT